GCCTCCCAAGTAGCTGGGACCACAGGCGCCCGCCACAACACCCGGCTATTTTTTGGTTGCAGCCATCATTGTTGTTTGGCGGGCCCAGGCTGAATTCAAACAGGCCACCTTAGGTATATGTGGCTGGCGCCTTAGCCACTTGAGCCACAGGCGCCGAGCCGTCCCCCATTGTCTTAACACGATAACTAAGAAAATGACATGAAGGCTATGTTAACCAGTTTGATGAAAATATTTCAAATTGTATATAAAAACGGCACACTATACTCCATGAGAGTATTAATGTACACAGCTATGATTTAATAAAAAATTTTAAGAAAGAACAAATGAAGATAAATACAATTGGAAAAAAACAAAAGAGTTCAACTATCTCTTAATCAGAAAATCCTGGTACTAAAATTGACTTTAAAAACTTTAATAAGCAAGAAGGGACAACTCTTCCTTATAGAATTCCAATTAATAAACATAGAAGGAATGAGATGAATATAAAAATCACCATTAGAACTCCATAGTAACTACCAAGGGAAGAACCACCAATGCATACTAAAATTAGTGAGGTGAAGTTTAAGCACAGTCTCTATCTAGCCCAAAATATTTAGTAAGTACTTGAGGAAAATAGTAAATCTATAGTATAGAATCCTGGCAGACAGCACCTGAGCTAAATAATCATCACCATTAATGCACAATGATATCAGGCATCCCCTGTACCACTATGGTAGCCTTCCCAACAGTACATATCCTCAATCTAGTAAGAGAAAACTTGAAACAAACCCCAAATGAAGAACATTCAACAAAATAACTAACCAGCTCACTAGAAGTATCAAGGTTATGAAAAACAATAAAAGACTGGAGGAAAAAGTAAGACATGATGAATAAATGCAATGCACTATTTTTTCAATTCTACTGTAAGATACAAATTTTTTAAAAGATAATTTTAATGTCACACAAAAATTAGTTGCACTAAATTTTTCTTGCTCTCAACCAAAAATACCAAGTTTACTCTAAATATTAACCAGTTGGGCCAGGCACAGTGGCTCAGACCTCTAATCCTAGCACTCTGGGAGGCCGAGGTGGGTGGACTGCCTGAGCAAGAGCAAGACTCTGTCTCTAAAAGAATAGCCTGGCACTACGGCAGGTACCTGTAGTCCCAGCTACTCGAGAGGCTGAGGCAAGAGACTCGCTTGAGCCCAAGAGTTTGAGGCTGCTGTGAGCTATTATACCATGGCACTCTACCCAGGACAACAATGTTGAGACTCTGTCTCAAAAAAAAAAAAAAATAGTAATAAATATTAACCAGCCAATGCTCCAAATAACTTACATCTGCTTTCAAAAATCAAATTTCTCTCTCCAAAAATCCATTACTTACTATATGCATAATATCCTTTACCACACAGCAACTTTTTAATATAGGTTGTTATACCCACTCTAGAGTTTTATACAGGCTGAGGAACTTGCTTAAGGTCACAGCCTTAACAGCCACACTACCATGTCTCTCCCTAAAGTGTATCTAAAAAGACATTAGATATCCAAAAGAATTTATAAAGGTCTCCAAAGATTTGCAAAACATTTTGAATAATGGTTGCATTATTGAGATAAGTTTACAGCCTTCACAAATGAAATAATTACCAGTATGAGTCATATGAACACAGCTTTACTCACAAATGACTACCCTGAAATAGTTATCAGTATGAGTCACATGAACACAGCTTTACTCACTCACACACCTAAAACAACACTAGAAGCCATTGCTTAATCCTTGCTACTCAATTCAGTCGCCATGTATGCTCCAATCTCCTAAACAAGACTCTAAACTCCGTTACTACTTTTTCTTCTCCCACTGATAGTTTTTAATAAATTAAATTTTTAAAGAAGTTTTAGGTTTTCAAAAATATTGTGAAGATAGCTCTTGGCATTTCTATGTACCCTGTCCCAATTTCTATTAGTCACATGTTGTATTAGTATAGTACCTTATTACAATTAATGAACCAATATTAACACGTTGTTAACGAAAGTCCATACTTTATACAGATTTCCTTGGTTTTGCCTAATGTTCTTCTTCTGTCCCAGCATCCCACACAGGAAACCTCAGAACACTTAGTTGTCATGTCTCCTTAGGCTGCTCTTGGCTGAGTCTGGTTCTCAGACTTTCCTGTTTTTGATGACCTTGACATTTTAAGGAATAGGGGTCACATATTTTATGAAATTTCCCTCAAATAGGATCTGTCTCACGATTTTCTCATGATTACACTGGGGGTAGGGGTCTTCGGGAGGAATCTCAAAGGTGGGTGCCATTTCATAAGGGTACAGCAGAACATCAATGTTGAAGCTGACCGTGGCCACCCAGCAGAAACAGTGCTTGCTAGGCTTCTCCACCATGAAGTTACTCTGTTCCCCTTTCCCTGATGGCATTTTTAGGCCTTTCTTATGGCTTAATTACTAGAAAAGACTCATAACTGTTCTCTCTACTGCTAGTTTCATAACTCAATCTTTTCTGCACACTATTACTAGAGTGGTCTTTTTTTGGATCATGCCACTTACAAAGTGTGAGTGGCTATTCATTACCTTCAGACTAAATGTCAGAGTAATGATAGCTCTTATAAGAAGCAATGATAGCTCTTTGGAGAAATGGCTTATGCCTGAGCAGGAAGAGGGAAGGTATAAGATAAGCATGGAACATTTTGTTGCCCTAAAGGAAGAAAATTCTCAAAAAATCATGGGTTGGGCTAGGCACAGTGTCTCTCACCTGTAATCCTAGCACTCTGGGAGGCTGAGGCTGGTGGATCTCCTGAGCTTAGGAGTTCATGACCAGCCTGAGCAACAGCAAGCAAGACTCTCTCTCTACTAAAAATAGAAAAATCTAGCTAGGTATTGTGGCAGGTACCTGTAGTCCCAGCTTCTTGGGAGGATGAGGCAAGAGGATTGCTTGAGCCCAAGAATTTGAGGTTGCTGTGAGCTGTGATGCCCTAGGCACTCTACCTAGGGTGGCACAATGAGACTCTGTCTCAAAAGAAAAAAAAAAAAAATCATGGGACCAGTGGGCTGGAATCAGTGGCTTATGCCGATGATCCTAGCATTCTAGAAGCCCAAAGCGGGAGGATCACTTGAAATCAAGAGTTTGAGACCAACCTAAGGAAGAACAAGACCTCCATCTTTATAAAAAATAGAAAAAAATTTAGCCAGGCATGATGGCACGCACCTGTTATCCCAGGTGCTCATGAGGCTGAGGCAGAAGTTTCACTTGAGCTCAGCAGTTTGAGGTTTTGATGATGCCACTACACTCTACTCAGGGTAACAGAGCCAGACTCTGGGTCAAAAGTCAATCAATCAATCAGTCAATCAATCTTGGGAACAAGTGAAAAAAGGACACAGCAGCCAGCTCAAAAGAGTTCCCACTGGACAAATCAGGGACAGTGTGATAGTTACAGTTTATAATCATCAAATAAAATGAGAATCCATGAATTCACACTGATATAACTAAATAAATAAATGACAGAGAAGGAAAAGTTGTTTCTTATAGTAGAATGCTAACTGATAAATACAAAAGGGATGAGGGGGTGAGAAAATAATAAATGGATATAAAAAGCTGGTGAGTTAAACTGTAGTGAAGAAAGAGGTTATTACACAATCTTAAAGTTAACTTGCTACAAATTCCTGATTACAAAGGAATCAGTGGTGAAATCTGGCAGATTCACCTTAACCATCACATACCAGTGAGGAGGGGGACTGACCCCACCAATGTTTTGTCTTTGTGATCAAAACTAACATCACCAATTCTGAGAGAAACCAATAATGTGTACCCTATTATATGATGAACTAAGAAGATACATCATCACTGGTTTACCTGCCAAAAATGTACAACCTGAGGCTACTTATGAGGAAACCTCATAAAAACTCATACTTTGGGATTTCCTACAAAATAACAGGCTTGTACACTCTTAACTATAGCATCAAGGTCAAGAAACACAAAGAAAGGCTGAGGAACGGTTTTAGATCAAAGGAGACCAAATGGACAAAACAATTAAATATAGACATGATCCTGGAGTGGACCCTAGACTGAGGAGTGAGGTCAGTGGGAACCGGGGAGATAGCTATACGGGATGTCACTGAGACGAGTGATAAAATTTGAACATGCACTTTGGATTAGATAATAGTACTGCACTATAATTTCCTTGCTTTCATTAACTGCTGAGTTTATGTAAAAGAAATTGTGGCTCGACGCCTGTGGCTCAAGTGGCTAAGGCGCCAGCCACATACACCTAAGGTGGCGGGTTCGAATCCCCAGCCTGGACCTGCCAAACAACAATGACGGCTGCAACCAAAAAATGGCCAGGCGTTGTGGCGGGTGCCTGTGGTCCCAGCTACTTGGGAGGCAGAGGCAGGAGACTCGCTTGAGCCCAGGAGTTGGAGGTTGCTGTGAGTGTGATGCCACGGCACTCTACCCAGGGGGATAGCTTGAGGCTCCGTCTCAAAAAAAAAAAAAAAGAAATTGTACTTAGGAAGTACACACACATTCAAATGTTTAAGCACAAAAGACACAATATCACAACATACTCTCCAACAGGTCTTCTTAAACGTGCATTGGATTTCCTTTACAGACATTATTTTTACTTCTGTGTGTGGGGGAGAGAAGATGCTACAACAAATGGGATGAAATGTAAACAACTGGTGAATCTGAGTACAGAGAATACAGGAGTTCCTTGTACTGTTATTTGTAACTGTTTGGTGAGTTTGCAAGTATACCAAAATAAAAATTCACCTAAAAAAGTCAAAGGCTAAAACTTATCTCCTACAACTTTCACATCTTACGGGATCCTTTAAACGTACTACACTTCTGCCTAAAATGTCCTCCTTCTCTTCATCTGGCCAACTTCTACTTACCCTGCTGGACAGCAAAAGGAATGCACCTTTTAAAACCAGATGATGAAACTTTACTCAAAATTCTCTAATGGTTTCCCCTTCCTTAACATACAGTCTGGCCCATGGGAGGGTCAATAATGTCCAAAGGAGCTTTTAACAATCTGTGTTGTCCAATACAGTAACCACCAGCCACATGTGACAAATGAGCAATCGATATGTAAGTGACAAAATGAATCTTTACTTCTAACCTAAATAGCCACATGATGGCAGCGGCTACCAGTGAACAGCACGGCTTTAAACACCCCGAGCTACCCGCTAGGTTTCTCACTTCACTGTCTGCCATACTCCTATTTGCCTCCTAATGCAGTCACCGGGTTTTTTTTTTTCCCAACTCTTTTAGTTTTTATTTTTCAAAACAGCTTCATTTTCTTATTTACCTTTCTGACTCTGTGTTTGTGCCTTCTACACTTTCACAACAATTTTCTGCTCCTCAGTAAGGAAAGCACGCTCGATCCTGTCAGGAACACATTTGGCACACATGGAACTGCCACAGGCCCTGCAGACATGTTTTTTGTTTTAGACAACCTCATAAAAACTTTCGGTCTCATAGCACGAACCCCTCAAAATCTGCCTGGGCACGCACCCCACTGGTGCTTTCCTAACCTTCTTGGTATAAAGGAGAACAATTCTACTACCAGGGCTCGCGACAGCCTGGTTTTGTTAGAGGCTGTACTGTAGGGAAGTCTGCACCATTCTGAGTGCCTCCAGACAGAGTCCCCCGTCACTCTGGTTTTCTTTCTATTCCTTGGATAGACCAGAACATACCAATCACATTCCTGCCTCAGTCTTTGCATTGACTATTCTCTCACCAAGAACGACACTTTTCCCAGATAATCACATTGCTCCTCCTCTCTCACTTCTCTCTAGTGTCTGCTCAAATGGTACCTTCACAGCTTGTGTGCTCTGATTGCTGCACCTAGAACATCCACTACTCAGGCCCTTCATCCTGATTCGTTTCCTTCATGACACTTTCACTGACAGACATTAGATACTTGCTCAGATCAGAGGAAGGTTCTTAGACATGAGACATGGGATTTTGATAAAGCAGGGATAGTAGGAGTAAAAGAACCGAAGGTCAGAAGTGTGATAAGTAAATAATTTAAATTTCAAAAACAAATTGTACATGTGACAAGATCTAAAAGGAGAATCAGTTACCAAGAAGGTTAAGGAACCTCATTCTCTAATAGATTTTTAAAGTAAAATAAATTCTCTGTTTCGCTAGTGTGATTTAAATGTGGCTCTACAAAATGGCAAAAATTAAGACTCTTTAGATCTTTATCAGTTACAAAGTAGAGCAGCTCTATGGTCTATACTATTTCAACGTGATGATGGTTATTGGAAATGTCACAAGTAACTTAGTGAAAAGTTGAAGTTCATAAATTGGCTTGTCTCTGCCAATGAAAACTAATTTTAATAATTCTCATTCATGGCCGGGTGCAATGGTTCACACCTATAATCCTACTACTGTGGGATCGCTTGAGCTCAGGATTTCAAGACCAGCCTGAGCAAGAGTGAGACCCTGTCTCTACTAAGAACAGAAAAATTAGCCAGACACAGTGGAAGGTACTATAGTCCAGGCTACTTGGGAGGCTGAGGCAAGAAAATTGCTGGAACCTATGAGTTTGACATTACAATGACCTAGGCTGATGCCACAGCACTCTAGCCTGGGTAATAGAGTGAGACACTATAAATTAATTAATTAAAACAACAATTTAAATTCTTAATCCATATCTCATGTCTATCTTACTAGTTATGCTAATCTTAAACTTAAGGGACACATTGGGGTCAAACTAAGAAAAAAACACTGTCAATGAATGGTAACACAGCATAAAAGTGATTTTTAAAGTCACATACATTTCCTACACAGGCAATGTGGAAGGACAAATGAGAGTTTTAAAGGCAGTACACACTGGCCCCATGCGCTGCTATTAAAAGTAGTTCACGGCTCGGCACCTGTGGCTCAAGCGGCTAAGGCACCAGCCACATACACCCAAGGTGGCAGGTTCGAATCCCCAGCCCGGGCCCTCCAAACAACAATGATGGTTGCAACCCAAAAATGGCCAGGCGTTGTGGCGG